TTCCCATAATTCTGGGAAAATTTCCTATAATTATGGGAACAGTTCCTATAATTGCCTGGGAACTGTTCCCATAAAATTATGGGAATAGTTCCCATATTTTTCTTTCCGTGTATAGTCATATATATTCAATAATCGATAAAATGAAAATAGTCTATTAAGTCATCTAAAAAATGTTACACAGATTTCATTAAATAAATTTTGTGTTTTATGAATTTCAAGATAAACGAAAACAGCAAGGAGATTTAATTTATATGTATCTTTAAAAAATACGATCAATGATTCTATTTTAATATATAACAATAGTTATAACAACTAGCTAAAAGTACAACATTATGATGGCTGGCGAATCGTACTTTATAAAATACAAAATATTCTTAAAAAATAAAATTTTTTTTACATATTACAAAGTATTTATTAATTAAAAGATATTGAGTTTACTAAAAGAAAAGTATGATGTCCTTACATAATTTTACAAACTGAAAAAACAATTCACACACTGAAAATAAAAAACATTAATTTTTTTTTAAATAATGGTTGATAACCCATCTAGATATAAAAATAAATAATAATGTCAAAAATCACGTCTAGATGCTATTTAATTTTTTTGTAAAATGAACCACAAAATGAAAAATTCTCATCAACGTAGAAGCTTGCTTCGCTTGCCTAATGAGCATGAATATTTTATTTTTTTAATATTTTAACACAATTGTATTTAAATTAATACAATAATAGTTCTCAAATGTTCATAATTAGCAATAATCACGAATATGTCACAAAAAAGTACAACTCTGAAATAATTATAGCATCGTACTAATATACTCCACTGTTTCATAGAAAGAGGTGAATGTACTCCCCACAGGATGGATGACGCTTTTTTGATTAGATTTCTTCGTGCACGCAATTTCAATGTTAATCGAGCGCATCGGTTGGTAAGTTAACTACAACATTAATAGACTACCGAACATATTTATATAACGTATATAATGTCATGTTATCTGCATTAAACAAAATATTGCTCTATTTTCACTTTTTGCGAAGAAAATTAAAAATTTTTTTAATTCGCTGTCCTAATTTTAATTAAATGACGATGTTTTGAATTTTAATTATCGTTTAATTTATGTTTGACAGGTTGTTAGGTATGTCAATTTCAAAGAAGACCATCCAGAAATCCATAAAGATGTAAATCCACTGAATATGCGTCATATTGGGGATGATGACGTAATGACAGTGCCAGCGTACAGAACACAGTGTGGACGTAGAATGATGATTTATAGAATGGGTAATTGGGATCCAAAAAAATATGGCATTGAAGAAATATTCAAAGCGACGGTCATTATCCTTGAATTAGGTGTATTGGAACCACGCGCACAAGTTCTTGGTGGAGTTGTTATTTTTGATCTTCAAGATATCACTATAGCGCACGCTTGGACTATTACACCTCAGGTAATTTATATTTCATATCGAATATCATAATCATTTATGATATCAATTATATTTATGTACAAAAGTAGTTAACATTGAATTTTTTTGCGTTAATCGTTTTAAATGACACTTTTGATAACCTAGCAGTTGATTACTGCGGAATGAAAATACTCCATAATTCAAAGTTCATAATTATCGAAATGTTTTTTGTATACTAATCAAAATTTTGGTTATAACCGGTGGAAAATTAAAAATTCATAATTTTGTAGCAATGTCGTAAAGAAACTTTTTCAAACGGTATTATGATAATCAAATATAACCTTTAGAATGTAGCGTAATCATTGATCTGAAACGTAGAATTCATGAATTTTATATACATATACTCTAAACACTTGTTTATCTAGGAGTAAGCTTCATTAAATCTTCATGAGCTTCATAACTATCGATTCAATATTTTATATGATAAAGTAGCAGCTATTCCTAGAATTGTATAACTGAATGCACTCAAATTATGATTGATACTACACTACAGTACGATTTAAAATTCACTGATTTAATTTTCCAATTTATACGGAATAAAAAGAAATAATATTTTACTTTAGCATTTGTTTTAGTTTCTTGCTAAAAACACTATCAAATTTTTTAAACTTTTTATATGAAGTATTGTTTCTATTGTTTTTAACTTCTTACTTCAACAAATAAACAAAAACTTGACACACCTGATGCTACATTACAAGTAAAATATACTAAATATCTGAAATACAAATAAAATTATTTACTAAGTTACTAACACGAGTATTTAAATTAAATGAGAATATTAAAAATGTGACTATTATCAAAACAAAAAACAATAGAGGCTTACTAACAATAATAATGTCATTTATAGTGATAATTAAATACTAATCTGATATTAAGGGGGATGGCCACTGTGAGGATCAAAAAAATAGGTGGTATTCGGGAATTTTTTTGACTGGGATAATAAAGGAATTTGGGGATCGGGTTTTTTTTTGTTTTATAAAGTATACATTGCAGATTATTCTCCTAAATTTTTATCCAAAAATATCATGTTGTTACAAAGTTATTAGCATTTTTGTGGGGGACCAAAAAAATTTCCCTCTCCATGATGCGATCTCTAACTCAAAAACGAATTATCTAAAACAAAAAAACGAAAGAGCGTTGTAATCTGCATGCGTGTGGTTATCGTTGCACGTAGGGGATTTTGAAAATTTGGATTTTAAAAAAAATGGCGTCATATTAAAAATTTTTTCCTCATTTTTTTGGATTCAAACAGCCCTAAAAAATCTTAAAAATCAAAATTTCCAAAATCCCCTACGTACAACTATAGCTACTGAATAGACGAATACGGGGAAAAAAAAGTTGCAAATCGGTTCATATTTATATAAATTACAGTTCTCATCAGTTCAAAAAAAGTAGTTTCAAGCAAGACGCGTTTTCGTCGGAGTGCCGCGCGTGTCAAGTCATTTGAAGCGCTGTCACAAAAATGACTGTAACTACCAAACTCTAGATACCTATTTTTGAATCTATAAACTTAGATTTAATAAAAAAAAAAAAATTTTTTTTTTTTTGAAATTTCACAGTGGCCATCCCCCTTAACTTAAAACTTGTGTCTGAAATAAAAAAAAATTTTTTCAGATCGCCAGCATGGTAATGGCATTAATGGTATCGTCGTTTCCAATGAAAACGTACGCAATTCATATTCTTCACCAATCTTGGGTATTTGACATGATATATGCAATGTTCAAACCTCTTATAAACAAAGATATGAAGGAACGTGTATTTTTCCATGGTGATAATATGGAAAGCCTCCATAAACATATTGCGCCTTCGCATTTACCCAAGAAATATGGAGGTACGAGAGAAGAGTTGCCATATTATAAGTGGATTGATTCACTCAGCTTGAAACCTAAAATTGTAAAGGAAATGCACTCTCTTGGTTATATTGTACCAGAAGAGCTGATTAAAGGTCTTTGATCTTTATTCGTTTTTCATCATAATATTTTATTTTATATAGTAAGGATAAGTAAACGATAGTCATTGTAGCAAGAACACAATATTTTAATAATTTTATTTTTTGTACTATTGATTGTAGATTTATGATAATTAATAATTGACACGATTTTTGTAAAATATTTCTCAGCTATTACTTATAACTAGGAAAACCGCAGTCACTATCTAACTGCCGAATAGAATTTTTCTATGAATAAGAATCTCAGATTATAAATAGTGTTTTCAGCAATTTTACGTAAAAATTCAAACAAATGTTCCACAACTTTTCTACAATTTTATTAATCACCAATTTTTCGGTTAATATACTCTTTTTTTATTATTTTCTTCAAATGTTATAAATACAGAATATTTTCAAATAAAAAATTAAACACATTTCATGTTTTGATTATTTTGAGAGTTTTTTTTCATTAAATCAGCAATACTCGACTTGTGTCTATTTATTTATTTTTGTATAAGTAAAAACGCCATTCGGCCTCAACCGAGATGGAGGGTAGATTCCTCAGGAATGGATTATTTTCATTTATTTCTTAATAACTTGAGTAGTAAATATTGCAAGTAAATGGTTTATAGGTCAAATTAATGTTAATTTCATAAGCTTTAATGTTTATTTTTTAGAAATGAGTTATCTCTTCTTAATCATAAGTTATTCACTGGATATAAAATGACCGAAAATGCAATTTTCATTATTTTGACAATTTTAAATGGTTACCATTTCTAGACTTATCGCCCAATTTTTCTTATTTTCGAACTCATTCAAGATATTCGTCCAAGGAATAAATGTATTAAGTTTCATTAAGATTCATCTAGAATTGTAGGAACTAATATCGTATTCACAAGCCGCGTTATATAAACTTTTCAACTAATGCTATTTTTGAACCTTACTTGACTATTTAGGTGATATTATGACACAATTCTCAGTAAACGGAGAAAATTTTATAGTAGAGTTTATCATCTAGTTATGTTAAATTTAAATCTATTAATTGAATTCGATAGTAGTAAATATTATTTAAATAATTAAGTAAACCATCTGAATTGTAGTGTTTACCATCCTGATGGTAACTACTACTATTGTGATGGTAATCAGTAATAATAACTGTTATTATTTTAATTAGTTACTACTATTATCAAAATCGTAATTCCTAATATAACCTGATGGTTGTAGTTACCATCAGTTATAATAATAACTACTATCTAAGCAAGTAAAAAATATCAAAAAAATTAAAAATCTGCGTTACCGTGGATGCATATCTGAATAAACTAAAAGCAGCTGTACACGGGAAAAAATTTCTGGGAAAATTTACGATACAACTATTGTAAAGCTGGACTATACCTTTATTACTATTAATTATCAAATATTTTAGAAGAAAAAATACGATATTACTATTGTAAAAAGTAAGAGATGAAAATTTCCAGTGCTGCCTCTGTATCTTTCCAATAGAACTATAGCAAATTTTACAATAGTTAAAATGTTAAATGCATTGAAATAGTTTGCTTGATTTTTCTCAATTTGATAAAAAAAAATCAGTTCCCTGTCATGTTACGCATGCAAAAGATACACAAATATCGAAAAATCAAAAATTAATTCGGCTGTTTATTTATTATAATTAAGCTGACAGTTTTGTAGCTCTTGTTAATTTTTTTTCTAATAAAATCAAAAATAATTTGGCCGGACAATTTTGTACAGATTTAAGACGTCCTTACAGAGAATCACCCATATATAATATATGAAAATGCATGTGGGTACTCAAATGAAAGGTCTCGATGAGTGTAATGTCAGGATGAGCTTAAATCTTTAAAAATGTCAATATACAGTTAAAAAAGTACAGTGCAATTTAACAAAAGTCACTATTAAATAAGGCAAATTTTTATTTATTTATAGTTCACAAGTCACAACAGTCACATAGTGACTGCAAGGTTGCTAGTAATAATAATAATAATGTGGTGGTAGACATAAACTGAAAATTAAAATTAATTTTTTTTCACTCTAAATAATATTAGAAATTACTTTTATTTAATATAAATATCAATTTGATAAAATATAAACTCTGATGGTAATAATTATCATCAAAGATTGTAGAAATTATTAATTTGATTTTAAAAATTATTATCAAGATATTTAATCAAATTATCTTAGATAGTTGAAAATACAATCTTATAGTAATATAAAAGATGGTAAAAATTACCATATTGGTGGTAACTGTAATAATTTATATCGTATTTATAATAAGCATTATTAATAGTATAACTATTACAATTGTCAATGATATCACCTATTATTTTGTTACTAATTAATTTTATTACCATTTTAGATAGTAGGAGTTACTATTTTTGTATAGTAGGTAATATAATTAATTTTTCTCCGATATCTTCGAAATCTACCTAAAAATGAATAATCATTACATGACAGAATATTTTACTCACTATACAGAAAATTGTGAAACTTGAGACTGGAACCCAGATCGTTTGCTTTCATTTCAAAAGCTTTGTCCAATAATACTACTGAGCCATCTGATCTCAAAGTTAATTAATCCCGAATATTTTAATATATATTTCTATATGTGTCGATAAAGATCACAAAAATACTTTTTTATTGCAAAGGTTATCAATATAAAATTTAGCTAGATAAATGCAAATTAGTTTAGTAAAATTTTTACTAATGGTTTGAAATTATTTTAATAAATAATTGTTCGAATAGTTGAGTTTTAGTATGTGAGCATGTATGTTAAGAATTTAATCATATTGACTGTAAAAATGTAGACATTCTTTTTATTTATTTTAATAATAAACGAAAATGAAATGTTTTCTGATCTTCGCATTATTTTCAAAAAACATATTGATTGAATTAATAAACTTAATTTTGTAGAGTTAAAATTTTTTTAATTAAATTAAACAAAAAAGTTTTTTTAAACTCAATTAGTAGCACTGTATATTAATTTTAGTTATAAAAGATCAATAGTAACGAAAAAAATAGAGCCAAAACTTATTGAACTTAAACTGGATGGGAATGAAAAGCTAAAATCATGATATCCACGTCATTTATTCTTAAATAATGAGATTAAATCTCAAGTAGTTAAACTAAATAAAAAAATAAATATGAACCATCGACTATACGATTAAAAAAAAATAAACCATCCTTTATCGGATCTAAGAGATCGTAGATCGAGTGCAACTGGCAACCGAAGTCGACAGATAAAATACGGGGTTTAGAATAACCATGAAGAGGGTTAAAAAAAGTAACTAGAGGTTGAAGTGAAGCGAAAACTGTGCTTGGTACAATTTAAAATGATAACAAAGCAAGCGCAATTAGAAGGTGTAGTTTAGGAGGAAAAAGCTTCAAAAATAATAATTTGAAAACTGTAAGATGTGGATTTAGGTGGCAATTGAACTCACACCCTGGAGATGTTATTACCTTTTTTTACTTGTTAAAATTTTTCTGGTAGCTCCAGGTGGTTCTGGGCACACTCAACACTGGTTGTTAAAATATCGACCCACGGAGGGTAAGAATCGCAAGGCGCAAGCCTGGACGACACGATTGTTGGACCAAGTGGTGGCGCCGGAGAACTAGGAAGTGGATAACGGAATTGGTAGTAATCTGGACAGTCCCCCGCGCGCGGGCGGTGGATCCGACAGACCCTCTATACATGCTTCGACAGATTGAGTTTTATCAATTACCGAAAAATTAAATCACGGATTTTGATTATTACTAATATTATATTATTTTTAGTGCTAAAATGATAACTGATTTTTCTTTAATTTTTTACCACTGCAACTGAAAATATTTTTATTAGTATGAAAGTTACGGAAATGTATAATGTTTTTTTAAACTATTTTATCAGTGCAATTGTGTACAAGTGTAACTTGTAGGAAAGTCTAAGTGAATATAAAATAAAACTGAGGATTTATTTATCAAATATGTGACGACTGGAATAATTTAGTAAGCAATGAACGAACCAGTGAAAATAGCTTTTATTAAAAATGAAAAAATGGAAATACTATAATCATAAATTATAAATATAAAGATTTTATTTATTTATTATAACGGAATGACGAATTTAAATTGAATACTTTTAGATAATTATTTAATTTCACGATATCAGGCATCGAATATCCGGCCCTCACGTCCGATAATTATTGTAAGTTTTATGTAAGAATACAAAAAATTACCTATTTAATTTGAAAAGTAAACAAAGAAAGAAAGAAAATAAGCTCAATACAAAGAATCCACTTGACAACGAGAAAAGTATTCAAGGTCAACTAAATATGCCTCGGCTTATAAATTACATCCACCCTGCTTGAATAATAAAAATACAAATAAAAATAATATAACAGGGTACATGTAAAAAGTAAATAAACCATGTCCCAGAGGCAAATTTTACCAAACGAGGAGTCGTACCTGAAATCAGGTCGACCCTCGAGAATTTTCAAAACAAGTTTCGCGAACCCCAATCTTGAACGGCTTTACCGAGCTTCGTCACTTCAACAACGACGAGGTGGACTTCATTGTTTTCTTATATCAGCTATTCTTTATGACATGTACATGTTAATATCGCCGGATGTCGAAGTAACGACTAAAGGAATATTCGCAGTATTTTTGGGTCTAAACCTGGGATTACTAGCTCTCGCTGAACGTGGCACCCGAGCTAGAGATAAGCTTTGGACTACAATGCCACACTTGGCTTGGCAATTATCTACGGCTCAAATATTAATACACTTGTTTCTTAAAAACAATGCTGTCACACCGAGAGATAGCTTTGGATGGTTACTCTTACTTCTTTATCTTCTTTTTGCTACTCTACCACTTAGACTGCTCCATGTCGCGTTACTCGTATTTGGTACAGCCTCAACTTATATCGTTGCCGTGATTGGACTGGCTAAAATTCCTTCGCAAACCCCAATTGAAGTTTTGGTAAGTTAAATTTTGTTATCTACTTAAAATTTTTTTTAAATTGTATTCATTATCGGAATTCTCGAAAAAACCTCAATCACAATATTTTTATATATGTATGAAGCGAAAAAACTATAACTACACATCCAAAGATTAAAATAAATGGAATTAAAAATTATAATTTTATGATACATATTTTTTTATATAAAATTAATGAATTACTTCTATTAATTTAATGAAAAATTCAACAATTTTTATTATTTATTTTACTAGCCTAATTCTTCTGATTATTATTATTATTATTATTATTATTATTATTATTATTATTATTATTATTATTATTATTATTATTATTATCATTATAGAAAAAAGAAAAGAAAAACTTCAGCATTAAAATTTTTATTTTATTTTAAAATTATTCATTAATATTTTTTCAATGATGTTCAAAATTCCGAATTTTTATTGTATAATAATTTCGTTTCGCCAAATTTATTCTACGTAAATTTAAATAATTAAAAATCAGATTTCAAATAATAGCAAAAAAAATCCGTCTTATTTTTTTAAACATTATCAAAACCTACCAAAATAAATTAGAAGATCAAATAAGTATCAATCTTCTTTTATTATTATATTACTATTCATACTATGTTAAAAAAAATAATTATCCATGTATATAATTCTACAAAAAATGTAATATTTGTAGATAAATATCAATCTATTTTTGGAATAAATTTTTTCAACTCATCAAATTAAATATTCTACACAAAATTTGAAAGATAAATAGTACATTAAAGCAATAATTATTAAGTAGTCTTAAGTATTTTTTTTTTTTTATTACGCTGAAATTAAATTATGTCTGAACAATGGTGTGAAAACTATTTTGTTTCCGGGAACTAAGGAAGGTATAACAATAAAAATATATGTAAAAAAAATAGGGGAAAGTTTATTTTTGTAAATCATTCTCTATATAGTTTAATATCATGAGCCGTACAAAATTTTGCTGAACATTATCAATTTTTTGCTTAAAACGGAGAATACGAACTTTTATAAAAATTATTTTAGTAGTTTCTCGAGTAATTTTGATGATTTTTTTATAAATAAAGATATGTGTGGTTAACATAATGTTGTATTAATAATAAACATTAATTTCTATGATAACGTACTACTAAAAAGATACAATTTACCGAAGGTAATCTATACATATACAAACGACTTTGATACGTGTGCCGATGCATTAATTACAATTGAGTGAAGCTAAGTGAATGGTAGTTTTAAATAAACTTAACCCGAGTACCATGGTTTATGATTTTGAATTAACTCATTCAACAGAGCTTACAAATATTTATAAATAAATGATATCAATTAATTGATTATTATTTATAAAATATCGACTTAATCTATTATGAGCCAAGATGTAATTCTTTTTGTTAAAAATAATTGACACATTACTTTAACAATCTCTCTAATCCTATATTGTATATCATGATTTATTATGTATTGAATAGTCATTATATGTAATATCCTATTGCTAATTGATGATCAATTTGATGAATATCTATTTAACAGAGTAAATTATATTGAAATTTAATTAGAACAAGTTCCATTTCATAACTATAAAATGTTTCTAGACTAATTAACTAACGAATTATGTATAGTTAGTAAAAAAAAAATTCATGTCATCTATTAAAAGCAAAAAAAAAAGATATTTTTTTTTTTTAAATAAACAACATGGCATAATTATGACTGTTAATTAACGTTTGTTCATATAAAATATAATTCAATTAAGTTAATAAAATCACTTCTGAATCAACGTTGAGTTAATTGAAATTATATGTATTTGAATAAATATAATTTTACGCTGCAATTGCCGAAAGTTGTTCTGTTATCATTTCCTCTGCTTTTCCGAGCTTCTGTGATCGAATAAAGCGCGCTCTATTTTTGACACGTAAAAAAATTAAATTATCCGGTTAACTTCATGTTTCTTTAGTACTTTTTACATTTTTTTTTATCTGTCATTCTACAGTTTAAAACTCAATATCACACGAATCTTTTCACCTTGATCTAATTACTATTCCGCGCTTTTTATAAATTATTTATTTGAGAATATTATTCGACGATTATTTCTACATTCATCAATGATTTTAAAAATTCTGGATCAGTTGAAACACTCAAATAAATTTTATAAGCTTTTAGAATTTTTTTAATTTTGAAAGGATTTAAAAAATTTTATATAAAAATCTTCAATTGATCAGAGCTAAATAAGAACTCGTCATTGTCAAATACATTGTATAAATTCTTGAACTGTTAAAATCATTTTAGACAATCGAGAAATCTTTAAATTTTTAAGTGGATTCCAAAACTATACTAATGAAAAAACTAACTTGATTGTAGAGAAAAGTCTTGACACAGTTAAAAAATTTTTCTTGATTTAAGTAACTTTTATTTGGTTCGAGAACTTTTCTATTTAAATTAAGATAATCAAATTCGTCAAATTGATTTGTTGAGTTTAAAATTTTTCGCTTAAATAAAATTAATTTTTCTATCAATTTGTGTCTAGAATATTTTAAATAATTAAAATTTTTTGATACTTTTGAAAATCAGTAGCAAAGAAATCGAGAAAATTCAAAATAAAAGTTTATATAAAGTTAAAAATAATTGAATGTGAAAAGTGTTAAAAAATAACTACATAAAGTAACAAAGAGAATAGAAGACATGAATGAAATATTTCAGATAATAACAGTGACACTGTCAGCTGGAGCAGCGATTCTCGGTGCATCAAGTTACTCGTTGGCAGAATTCCAACAACGTCGAGCATTCTTAGAGACCCGCCAAAGTTTGCAGGTTCAGCTGGTAATCGAGGAGCAAAGTGCCGAGCAAGAACGATTACTTTTAAGTGTACTACCGGAACACGTGGCTGTAAAAATGCGTCAAGATTTGGGAGCATCATTTGACACCCAGTTCAAAAAAATTTACATGTCAAGGCATGAAAATGTTTCGATACTCTACGCTGATATTGTTGGATTTACGGCTATTTCATCAACATACAGCGCAAGTGAACTCGTTAAAATTTTAAATGAGCTTTTTGCTCGTTTTGATCAATTAAGCGAACGGTAAATAATCGTATCAATATTTTTATTCTCGACAATAGAATAAAATTACACACCTATACTCGGCACATGAACAAACACAATAGCTTTATTCTATGTTGAATCGGAGTTGAACTCTCTTTCCTACTCTCATATGTAGTTTCAGTTTCTGCTTTTTATCGATTTACTAAACTCTCTTCCTCTATAACTCGTAGCAACAACAAAGAAGAAATATAGAGTGAGTTAAAGTAACACAATCAGAAAACGATTGTTGTATATATAGATAAATACGAAAACGAACATCAGTAAAACTTTTTAGAATTTTTAGTTATAAAAAAAAATTAAATTAATGAATAAATAAAATGTTAGCCATTTTAAACTTCACGTTAAATTATAACATTAGATTTCATAAAACACTGTAACATTTCGTGATTAAACCTGATATTATAGAATTTATCGAGTTTCAGATACACAGTAAAAAATTTCTCGTCATGGCATTAAAAAATTTTGTGTTAAAAATTTTTATGTTAAATATTTAACACTTTTTTGTGTTGATGTAACAGAATAAATGTTAAATTTACACATAAAAGTGTTAAATATTTAACACAAAAATTTTTAACACTAAGATTTTTGACGCAATGACGCAAAATTTTTTACTGTGTAATTTATATATTTTTCATTACGCAAGCTATCAATTCAAGTTTTATTTTTTTATTTAAGCTTCTTCTTGAATAATGACAGTATCATTACAATAAATAATTTACAACAATTTTTAACACTAAGATTTTTGACGCAATGACGCAAAATTTTTTACTGTGTAATTTATATATTTTTCATTACGCAAGCTATCAATTCAAGTTTTATTTTTTTATTTAAGCTTCTTCTTGAATAATGACAGTATCATTACAATAAATAAGTCATATTAATGACCTAAATGGAAAAATATTATGTCATCAATCATCATAATAGGTTTCCAAAATGTTCAAGTTTGAAATTAACGATGTTTCAATCAATAAGTAATTTATTTACTTATAAGATTATGGTACTTAACACGGGGTAGCAATATACATAGTAAAAGTAAACATAGACGTATTCTTCGAAATTTATCAATCGTCACAATCGAAAATTTTTGGGTAGAGAAAAAATTTTCTTGACTCAAGAAAATACATGAACCTAATACATGAACACGGAAATAAAATAGGTGCTGCAACAGGATGCAATCCTGTGGGAGCAAAAGGATTTTTTCCTCGGGATTAAAGAGATATTCAAATTGAAAAAAAATATTAAATTTGTATAAATTTCAAATTTTAAATAAAAATTATAATTTTTAAGAGAAATTTGAATTTTGAAAAAAAATCGGATGAAAAAATGAATTCAAACTCAAAAAAATTTTAATTTTAAAAAAAATTTTTAATTAAAAAAAAATGTCAATAAGTGTTGCAGCACTAATTTTTTTTCTGTGAATAGTACTTTAAGCGTTTTCTAAGCTTCTAAAAAAATGTTTTATTTATTTTTTATTATTTGGATCACTGAAAGCTAAGCATTTTCTCAAATACCCCCCCCCCCCTCCCTCCGCCCTATTATAAATAAAATTTTTTTTTAGAAAAAAATGATACCTAAGTTTTTACGATAACAAAATATAATTATCACAATCACTTGAAAATATATACAAACATAATTATTTGAATATATTAATTAGAATAAAATTGATGTGATGGACTAGTTTTATTCTATGTAACTAATATAAAATAGGTAGTTAACACGAATTTCATTCATAAAAGTTCATAAATTTTATCTCAAATATAAATCTGCTATTGTACCAAGAACCATATTATAATACTTTTATACTTGAAAATGAGTAGTTGCTTAAAATATGTTATAACAAACAGTTAATAGTATATAATTTTTTAAGGTACGAGCAATTGCGAATTAAAATTCTGGGTGATTGTTACTATTGTATCAGTGGTGCTCCAGTTGAGCGACAAGACCATGCAATTTTGAGTGTACACATGGGCTTATCAATGGTAGAAGCAATAAAATATGTTCAGGCGACGACGAAAAGTCCTGTAGACATGAGAGTTGGTATCCACACAGGAGCTGTACTCGCTGGTGTCCTTGGTCAGAGGCAGTGGCAATTTGATGTTTACAGCAAGGACGTCGAGCTCGCTAATAAAATGGAGAGCAGTGGAATGGCTGGGTAATTATTTAATAACTCATCAACTCTAATCGAAAAATTGAGCTTACAATAACCAAAAAATAATGATAATAATCATAATTTTTTGATATTTTTAATTCTGTAATGACTAAATTGGTGCATACTTTTTTGTCATAACACTCATAACAATCTTGAATTATTATAGAAAATAAATTGATTTCAGAAGATGAATTTAATTGTAATATTTCAATAAGAAGAATGTTCAATTTATTTTGAAGTTTTATATACTTTAATATACTTCGATAGAAAATGGATAAAAAAATTTTGGAAAAATTCCACAAGTACACATGTCACATGCTCATTTTGTTGAAAATATGACAAAAAATGAAAATGAATAAGATCATAATTAAGTAAAAAAAAAAGAAAAAACTTAAAGCTGCAAAAATCTTTTTCTACACTATCGACAAATATTGTTTGTGTAATTATTTTATTTAATGTGATGCCACTGGTAACATCGACATTAAAAAACCAAGCATCGACATAAACGACAAAATAACCAGTATAAATTGATATTTCTTAAAAATATAAATATAAATATTTTCGGAAAAAACACCTAAAACTTTTACAAAATTATAATATTTTTCTGCTGCTATTATTGCTGCTGCTGCTGCTGCTAGACTCTCGTCAATAGCGTTATTTTGATTCGATTCAACAATAAAATTAAATTTTTAGTTGAATTCAGATAAATATATCATGAATCATGTGTATCGGGATAAAAATAAACTTCTGATAACAATAGTTATTTAAATATATATTATTATTAAGTAGTTTTTTTTTATCGAAAATGAATGACGCATTTCTTCACATGGAATGTCACGTTATAATTTAAATTCTGAAACCACTCTTTATGCACGAAACTTTTTTCATGTTAATTTCGTATGCTTTAAAAAATATAAATGATTTGAACAAAATCCTTCCATGGAAAATTAGAATAAAATAATAGTAGTAGATTGACTTCACTGTCACTATCATTTATTAAGAATTAAAAAATTTTTGTGTTAAAAATTGAATTTCAGGATAAAATATAATTAGCTCAGATTTTTCAACTCAAACTCCCAAAGAATAATTCTTGTTTATTATAAATTATAAATAATAAATATTGTTACTTTTCATTCAAGGCGTGTTCATATTTCAAACGCAACATTAAATTTCTTGAATGATGAATTTCAAGTCGAACCAGCGTATGGGGAAAAACGTGAAGAAGCTTTAGCTAAAGCTGGAATAGTGACATATTTTATAGTTAAGACATTAAAACCATTTAAACCAGCAATTACAAAAAGTTTAGCATCCCTTGATGATGCTGAAAATAATACACAAAGAATGATGAGTCACGGCGATATAAAGAGTAATAATAATAATGTTAATGTTAAAGAGGATTCTGAGGATTTCCGTGAACGATTACGCCAAGAACTCGGCAACAGAGGTTTTATTTTCAATTTATAAAAAATTATAAATGAATATATAATCCAGCTAAATTTAACATTTTATTAATATCATTAATTATTTATTTAGATGGGGGAGCTGAATTGAAAGGACACGCCTCTTGGTTAACATTACATTTTATAGATCCGAACGTCGAGTCTGCGTTTCATTGTAGTGGAGAGGCCTTCTCACCTCTTTCCCTCTTGGGTATTTATTATTTTTTATTGAATAAGAAGAATATAGAAATACAGAGATATTTTTAGTTTTGAAATTGTGTTAATAAAATATTTATAACAGGTGGTCCTTTGGTGCTGGTATGCTCCGTGCCAATATGGAGATTACAACCTTGGGGCCTTTTTACCTGGGGTGGTGCAGGTGTTGTCACTCTTTTTGGAGTTGTTCTTGCTGGTGCAACATGCCTAAGTAGTGCTGTTCGAGCACGATGGCTTAGACGAACTCTTGCCCTACTTATGATTTTCTCTCTCAGTGTTTTTCTACTACTAGATATGGTAAAATTATCTTATACAGTGTCAACATTAATAATAAGAAAAGAGGAACAAGGGGAGGCAGAACGAACATCTGAGTTAAAATTAAGTATTTTTTAACTAAAATATACCAGATTGATGTTTTTGCTCGCACTCACAATCAATACATTTTGATAGAATAATTTATTAACTGTTAATAAATTAATTTATTTAAAAACAATTCATTCATTTACTAATTATAAATAATTGTTTTCTAACTAGTGATAATTATTTTTTTGGAAGAAAAGTATGCTTATAATAAGTTAACAAATATTTTTAAATAGTTAATAAATTGTTTTCGGAGTGTGTATTTTTTTACGGTGCAATGTAAAACAAATAATATGCCGTAATATTCTTTAATAAAGATACGATTTACAAATAATTTTCAGCGATTAATAAAGAAAATTTTTGAAGATTCCATAGAGCCATTTTTTAATCTTTAACAACTTGTTGCACGGAAAAAAATTTATTGTTGCTGCAACAGGAAAAAATCCTGTTGCAGCAACAGGATTTTCCTGCAGCTGCAACAGGAGGCAGCCATGTTGCAACAACAGGAAAAAATCCTGTTGTAGCAACAGGATTTTTTCCTGTTGTTGCGATTTGATAGTAAAATATAGTTGGGTCAATCCATGTCGAATCAACCAATAGTTGGAATCAACCCCTTTCGATTTGGATAAATTTTGGTCAGAAGTTTTCTTTTATCATACAATGAACTGCTGCCAAAGGAAAAAAATAAAAAAAATCTCGAACGCTATTATAGATACTGGAATGGTCTTTCGTTTGTTTGAAAGGGGACACTTGGGGCTATTGAAAAAAAAAATATTTTGAAAAATACCAAATTTGTTAAATTTTGAATTTTTGAAAATCGAAAAATGACGATCTATATTAAAATTTTGGCTCAATTTTTTTTGTATAATGCCTTGTACTGATCTTAAAAGATCCTGAAATTTTTAGAACTGTGATTTTTTTTTTCACTTTACTTCATTTAAAGTTGTCGACGCCAGTTATCGTCTTATTAACATGAAAATGATTTAAAATTTGAGATTGAGCAACATTAATATGCAGAAATTTGTAAGTAAACAAGTACTCAAAAGAACTAAAAAAATTGATATTCTCACCACATTATTTCTGATTGTTATTGGAAATTAACATTTGTTTGAGTTATTTGACGTTAAAAACTTTTATTGAAGTGAACAAACGGAGAAAATATATCATGCGTTAAAAAAATAAGAAATTTTATTATGTGTTAAGCCTGACTTTAAGATTACGTTCAAAAAATAGAAAAAAAAGTTGAAATTAATTTATTATTTAATATTTCCACGTCGTGCATTTATTTTTAATGCTCAAAATTACAATACTATATATCTGCATAACTTTACATTGTTTAGAAGTTGCGAAAAACAAAAGAAAATTTTTTTTTGAAATTGAAAAATTCGTATTTAAAAAAAAAACACAGTTCTAAAAATTTCAGGATCTTTTAAGATTAGTACAAGGTATTATACAAAAAAAAATTGAGCTAAAATTTTAATATAGATCGTCATTTATGACGATTTTCAAAAATTCAAAATTTAACAAATTTGACATTGTTCAATATATTTTTTTTTTCAATAGCCCCAAGTGTCCCCTTTCAAACAAACGAAAGGCCATTCCTGTATCTATAATAGCTTTTGAGATATAACAAAAACAAAATTGAAAAACTGGAAAAATCGAGAAATTTTGAATTTGCATATATCTTTTGCAAATAATTTTTTTATTTTTTTTTCTTTGGCAGAAGTTCGTTGTATGATAAAAGAAAACTTCTGACCAAAATTTATCCAAATCGAAAGAGGTCGATTCCAACTATTGGTTGATTTGACATGAATTGACCCAACTATATTTTACTATCAAGTCGCAACAACAGTAGTAATCCTGTTGCTACAACAGGATTTTTTCCTGTTGTTGCAACATGGCTGCCTCCTGTTGCAGCTACAAGAAAATCCTGTTGCTGCAACAGGATTTTTTCCTGTTGCTGCAACATGACTGCCTCCTGTTGCAGCAACAATAAATTTTTTTCCGTGTGGAAAAAAAATTTTACATTCACAAAATTATTGAAGTATCTCGTTCTGCCTCGCCATCTCATCCTACATCTGATCCTATTTTAACATCCAATAAATTTTAATCTTATCACTATTTATGATAAAACAATTTAGGTGAACTGTGCAATAATTGAAGATGTTGATCCACCAGCATCTACTAACGCATCCTTAAATTGGACTCCACGTTGTCCTTATCCATCGTATTATTCTTACGTTGGAGTTCTTTCATTAATCGTTCTTTCTATGCCAACATACATCAGTTACCTAGGCAAATCAGTATTAATGTTTATACTCGCTGGTGCACAATGCGCGATGAACATTCTCATGCTTGGACACTGTCTTGATCGTGAAGATACTGCTTCAACTTTGCCACCACCTGATCAGCCAGTTGCTTATCCACTCAAGTATTCACTGTCTGCAACACTGCTTACTGTTGCTTCAACACTTGTCGTCGTTGCAAGATATGTAAGTATCTGAATAATTCCATACATATTCACCTACTTTAAGCTTTTAGATTTTTTACTTGGCTCAAATTTCATTCATCTAGGAGTAAAGATTTTATTTTAGTACTAAGTATTTTTATGGTCTATCATAAGTATTGATTGTTCAAAAATTCAATTAGAATAAGTTCAATTAACGGTAAACGTGTATTTGGCACGCTTCGTAACTTTTTTTTTGCTAACAAACTAGTAGAAATGCGTGGTAGTAATTTATTGCTCTTTTCCTCTTTCGATCTCACGAACTCTATGATCAGTAAAATTCATGAATATAAAGAAACTTCTTATTATACTTATTGTCTTAAATATAAAGACAATGGATTCGTTGCAATTGACTGAACAATAAAATTCCCGCGACAAAATACCCACTAAACCATATTATGAACCTATCATCATCATTACTATTATTATCAACTTTTAGGTTTGTTTAAGAACAATCTATATATACATATAAGAGGCTTTTTATATAGATATATAGTCACTCATCACGATATCTCTGGAACTATAAAGCCCAGAGACTTGAAATTTCGTAATTTGAATTTCAAACACAAATTTATCAGACCGAAAATTTTGAAGAAATTTGAAAAAATTCACTTTTTCCGAATTTTTTAGCCAACGATTTCACGACTGAATCAACCGAAAATGACCGGCCCGGCAGCGATCGGCGTGGTTTTTTAATGTGAAGAGCTGTATAGTTTTTAGAATCGATCGGTAAAGCCGGTTAAAAGTTATTCCAAAAAAACGACATTTAAAAAAATTTTTTTTTGTAGTTTTTTTTAGATTTCTCAAAATCTACCGATCCGAATCGGTCCAAATTGTACTCAAAATCTAAGTTTGGTCAAGCCCTTTCGAATGGCGTCAATTCTTAATGGCATCACACACACACACCCACACACACCATCATTAAAATCGTCAGGAAAGCTTCCTAGGACCATAAAATGTCGAGATCTAATGAAAACTCGATTTTCGAAAAAAGGGGGTTAAACCAATAACTTCCCGATTTTCGAAAATTTTCGTTTTTTTTAAGCGGGAAGTTAAGAATTAACTTGATTAAAGTATATAATTTTAGAATCAATAAAATAACTTCGAACAGTTTTATTGTCTTGAATCAAGACGGAAAATTCTTAAAATAAAATAAAATTTACTTGTACTACGAAAAATTTTCTTTTAAAAATCAATGCTACATTTTTTTTTTAATAAACAAGTCTTATGAGCCATTCACTTTTGTATTTTCCAAACTTTTTTTTATAATGTACGAAATAGCGGAAATCCGACAATTTTTATGTTTGAACGGAATTCTTGAAGTAGGTTGGTGGTATCTTGAACTAATGTCACCACGAATCTTAACCCAAGAAAAAAAAATTTTTAAACGATGTATAAGAATGTCGTGTTTGAATATAGTGAAATATTTCTGTGAAAAATGAAAATTTTTAATGGAGAACTTTCTGCTCATCCAAGAATTTTAATTTTTATATTTAAAAATTAATTTCTTGAGTTACAAAAAGCAAATATCTTGAAACTAGAGTCAAATTTTGAACAAAGTCCTTTCCTCGAGTTAGCTAATTTTTTTTTCAGAGTATATGTATCACAGTTTCTAGTAATTTTATCATTGGATCAAATTTTGTGTTACCACAGACCAAAAACATTCAGTGAACCTGTTTACGACTAAATTATCGATAATATTATTACTCAAAAAATTATCTTTTTCCAATGAAAATGCATGTTCTTTTACTCCGAAATAATCAACAAATCAAAATATAGATAAAAAGATTTACTCATACAATCTATTCAATTCCACAGCGGATTAAAAAGATAGTAATAATATTCAAAGTACACCAGAAGCTTAAATTGTTCACTCGTATAGAGTTATGTACTGTTATAGTTTCAATTAATTTTAGTACTTTGAATTTCAGATGTAATAAAAATTTTTCAATTTAAATAATATGAATTATTACTGCTGTTGGGTAAACTGTCGTTTTTTTTTCTTCTAAAAAAAATTCAACTAAAGCTTACAGAATAAATTGGACATTTTAAGAAATAGATATTGATATATAGAAGTTGTCGAATGCTCAACTGCGTGCATGGAAATACGTTACTATCTGCCTCCAGCTAGTACTAAGCTAGAACGGTAGAAGCTGGGTTCGTGGGTAGGTGATTAGTGGTAGGGAGGTAGGATTGTAAGATGATGTAGAGTACGTCAAAATCTACCTCGCCAGGAGATTAAGTGACATACTTGAGAAAATTATTATTGAAAAATATAATTGGAAAGTTTAAAACTATCCAATAACAAATTTATTGAGAATTATTTATTTTTATAAATATAAGATAAAATAGCCGGTATTTTTGCTATTATATAACCATTGATGTAACTTTCAAATTTTTTGAAAGTCTATTAATATGCTGCAAATACAGATAGATAAATAAATAGATAGCTTCTTTATTCATGCCAAAGCCAATCGGCCAAATGGCAAATTTTACTAACATTACATAAAAGTTATAGAAGGTAGAATAATTTTATAAAGTTTTACAAAGGTATAACTGTGTACATAAGTTTTTAAATAATTTATAGTTAATATAAAGAAAGGATTCACTTGAGGGACATTTTATTGATTTCAGTAACCATTTATTTGAACCAAATATATATTTACTTATTTCTAAGATTATTCTATTTGCTTAAATTGAGTAAATAGATATTTGTATATAATGTATAAATAGATATTTGCGTTATTCATATCTTTCTAGTTTAATTGAATTCGGTAACCAGTCTTCAATTATTGAAAATAATTGTTACAATCTCTTCTAAGTAGAAAAATTAAAATCTTAATAGTTTGAACTCGATAAATATGTATAGACATGCCTATGAATTATTACCGATTAAAAACTCATTAAAAGTTTTTTAAATAAATGAATTACATACATTAAGAGTTCTTTAAATTTTCTTCAAATTTCAACTTATCATTAATTTTTCTTGAAATTGATACTACTTTCTACGATCTACTTTCGATGCACAGCATGAAGAAATAGTATATTGTGTAACATGGGACCAAAGTACTACTTTCTGTCCCGGGTATGGGATTGCCCATACCCGGGCAAATACCCGGGCTAGAAATGTAGTACTTTGGTCCTATGTTGCACATACTATTTTTTATCCTGCCAGGCCCAAAATTCGTAAAAAAGTTTAATGACTCAGTGATTCGTGCATGGAGTCCACGGGCGAAGCCTCGGTAGGGTCCAGGGGCAAAGCCCCTGGTGGGGTCCAAAAATACTTATTTTAAATTATATTATTTTATAATTTTTATATTTTCTTTGGAAAAAACAAAATATAAATATTTTTCTTATCAACAGTTCGAAAAGTTTATTAGCGATGTAATTTTTGACAAAGTTGTAGTATTGATTCATGATCACAAAAGATCGTGGGTAATAATTTTTGGTGTCTCGAACAGATTCGATAAATTTAGACTCAACATCTTCGACATCATTATGATTTAACAATCGAAGTTCTTTGCATCACACCGCTCCACAAAATCCTAGAATTAAAATGACCTGAAACATAGTAATTTAATTACAAAATTATAATTTGTGTAAATATATATTTGTAAATAGAAAAAAAAAATTGTATATATATTTAATTATTATCATTATTATTATTATTAATATTATTATTAATAATAATAAAGTTAGCTGACGTTTTTAATATTTTGATTTCTTTTTCTCTTATTAAATTAGAACTTAAAATATTTATAATAAATATTTATATTGCACTTATAGTTTTTTAATTTTTTAAATTAAAATAAATAATAATTTAATAAATAAATTAAAATTTTATAAATGAAATTTTTGTTTGTTTTTTTGAAATAATTAAAAAAAAAATTATAAAAAATTTTTAAATGTCGGCTAACTAAATTTTCAATTATTATTATTATTATTATAATTATTATTATAAAACTTACTTTTTGAACTACCCTTGTGGAAATTTTTCGGACTTTTTTCAGAAAAAAACTTCTAAAGACTTTTAAAGACTTTTTCAGAGTTTTCGAGGTTTTTTGAGAAAAAAGTTCGAAAAATTTTCATAAGGGTAGACAAGTATCAGCTTGAATGTAGTCAGTACCCTCTTTGCCACTGTCACTCATCACTGACGTTTCAGATGAGCTCATTTTAGTTTTTTAATCGTTTTATAATTATTTAACTTCATAAACTATTAACTAAATCACGTAAATTATATCACAATTGATATGTGTTTTTATTGCCGAGATATTGCACTAATGGCGTCGTGACAGCTGTTCTGAAGCTTGATGCGTGTGAGTACTGACGCGCATAGTATCGCACATGCGCACTAATGGGTAAACCGAGGATAGAAAGGTAAACCGAGGATAGAATGTATCACTTGGGTCTCAGATAGAATGGATAGAATCCGAATTTTGGGCCTAGGCAGGATAAAAAATATATCAACGTTGAAAAGTTAATGCTTTATCGATAAATTGTTGATAAAAAGTCAAAATTTCAATTTTAGGATTTTTCAAATCTTAAAATTTTTATAAATTCAATTTTTTTTGAAATTAAATTAAATTTTATTACTAAAAAAATAATTTAGTTGTGTCTATTAATGAAAGATTCATTGAAATTTTCGCAGTTAATAATAATTGTGTTTGTAATAGTAAAATAATAGAAAACATTAGCATTTAATTAGATAAAATTATGCATCAATGAAATCAGTAGATCATAACATCTTATTGATTACATATCGGAATCTTTTTACTTTTTTTACTTATTAAGGTTCGTCATTCCTGATAATTTAACTAATTATCAATATACTAGCTGCTACCCGCCCGCTCCGCTGGGCACTTAGAATTGAATAGAATTGTATTTTTAGATCTAGACTTGAAATTTAATTGGAGTATGTTTTTGACTTGCACAGATTCCAAATTCTATCGAATTGGCCTGTACTTTTTATTCATGTGATTATTCTAGCTAATATTTATTGTAACTTTCAATGTGCAATCACTATAACATTCCCGTGGCTATCTTCCAAAAATGAATAATAATTGACATGAAGAAAAAAATATTTAAGTCGGTTGAGCTTGAAGGCCATCCCTGTAATTTTCCGTTTCTCTTAAGATGCTATCAAATTTTACATCTGTAAGAACTGTATTTGAAGGATATGAATTTTTTGACAATTATCATTCCCGCACTCCTATGTTGGGGAGAAATTTCGTAAGATCCTATTCGAGATGATTTCTACAGTATAAATAGAAGGTTTCAACAAAACTTCGAGTCCATAGAAACTATTGTTCGAAAATGAGAGATTTTCATTGTTAACGCCCCCGCAATCCCTTTTGGGGTTAGAATTCGAGAAAATCCATTCTCAGTTGAACTTCACATTATCCACGAAGATTCCTACTAAATTTGGAGACTGTAGAAGTTACAGTTCGGAAATTAAAATTTTAGATTTTAACACACCTACCCCCGCAATCCCTATAGGAAGTCGAATTTTTTGAAATCCGTTTTGAGATGATGTCCTAGTAAAAAATAAAAGATTCCTACCAAATTTACAGCTTTTAGAAGCTATATTTTAAAAATTAAGATTTTTTATTGTTAACCTACCCCCGCGATCCTTATTAGGGATGGTTCGTCGTAAAATCCGCTCTTAGATCATTTCTGTATCACATATAGAAAAGAGAAAACTCCTACCAAATTTGGCGACAATAGGAACTATAGCTTAGAAATTAAAAATTTTAATAGTTAACACTTACCCCCGCAAACCCCTGTAAGGTTAGCTATCATAAAATTCATTCGTATATTATTTCTACATCTCTCACAGAAAATTCCTACCCAATTTGGAGCCTATAGAGCTATAGTTTAAAATCGGGAATTTTTCATTGTTGAACGCCCCCGCAATCTTTTTCGGAGTGGGATATCGTAAAATTCGTTCATGAATTATTTCTACATCACATATAGGAGATAGCTACCAAATTTGGAGCACGTAGGACCTATAGCTTGGAAATTTAAAATTTTCATTGTTAACACCCACCCCCGCAATCCATATTGGAAGTAGGTTGTCATAAAATCCGCTTTTAGATCATTTCTACCTCACATATAGCAGATTCTTACCAAATTTGGAGCATATAAGAGCTACACCTCAGAAATTTAAAATTTTCGTTGTTAACACCCACCCCCGCAACTCCCTATGGCGTGAGCTATCGTAAAATTTGTTCATAAATTATTTTTACATCACTTAAAGAAGATTCCTACCAAATTTGGAGTCGATAGGAGCTATAGCTTGAAAATTAAAAATTTTCATTGTTAATACCCACCCTACCCCCGCGACCCCCTGAGGGGTGGAATATCGTGAAATTCGTTCATAAATTATTTTTACATCACTTATAAAAAATCCCTACAAAATTTGGAGTCTGTAAGAGCTATATCTTGAAAATTAAAAATTTTCATTGTTAATACCCACCTCCGCAACCCCTTGTAGGGGTGAGATATCGTAAAATTCGTTCATAGATTATTTCTACATCTCTTACAGAAGATTCTTACTAAATTTGGAGTCGATAGGAGCCATAGTTTGAAAACGGAAATTTTTCATTGTTAACGACCCCGCAAATCCCTTTGTTGGTGGAATTTCTTAAAATCCGTTTGTAGCTGACCTCTACATGGCAAAAGTAATATTCCTACCAAATTTCAAGTTTCTAGGTCCGATGGTTCTCGAGATATCGTGATGAGTCAATCTATCTATAGAACAACTCCTATATATATATACATATATGTATAGATAATAAAAATTTTTCAAAAGTAACGTAAAAAAATATTTTTTATATTCATATGAATTTTTTTAAAATTTTTTAACTTCAGCCAATCGGTTAATCATTTTACATTTTTCATAATAATATTAATCTTGATATGTAATTATAAACATGTTATTATAATACAGGCCGAGAAAGCTCGTAGAATATTATATCTACGAGGCAGAGAAGTAGTAGCCCAGAGAGAGCGTGCATCGGACATGAAGAGAAGAAACGGTGCATTGATTTATAATATCCTACCACCTCATGTGGCAGCATACTTTTTATCAACAACTCGATATCACGACGATCTTTACAGTCAAAGTTACGCTGAAATAGGAGTACTTTTTGCGAGTATGCCGAACTTTGCTGACTTCTACAGCGAAGAAAGTATTAACAACCAAGGACTCGAGTGTTTGAGGTTTCTCAACGAAGTTATATCTGACTTTGATGCGGTGAGTCAACATTTTTCCTCGGTGTACACATTAATTAAAAGCTTTTTTTGTGTAATATTATCTCTGCTAATTTATCTTCGTAGATGATGCTTGATTAGATCTCAATCACCAAAAAGACTAATTCATTTTTTGTTATTGTATAATTGTATAGATTCTAGATAGAAGTGAGTTCAAGTGCATCATTAAGATAAAAACTATTGGCTCGACTTATATGGCAGCTTCAGGAATTTCCGAATGCACAGATTCTGAAGAGGGACCTAGATGGGGGCATTTATCAACTCTCGTTGGATTTGCCTTAGAACTTAAGAAAGCTCTCTCAAGCCTTAATGAACAAAGCTTTAATCACTTTGTCCTAAAAATGGGTATCAACCATGGACCAGTTACGGCTGGTGTTATTGGCGCTAGAAAACCACACTATGATATTTGGGGGAATACTGTTAACGTTGCTTCAAGAATGGAAAGTACCGGCAAAGTTGGTCATATTCAAGTAAGTTATTGAATTAATTTCATGTAAAACTAAGATAATCAAAAAGTCCTGCAGACCAATTTTTGATTTTCAGTCGCACAATTGGTAATTAGATTACCCGAAAAAAAATTTTCCGATCTAAGCCATTTATGGTGTAATCTGGTTATATATGGCTATGTCAGGCTGTATATGAGAATAAAAGAATAGTTTATTATTATTTTTCCGGCCGGATGACTAACTCAGTCTTGATAAGAATGCGCCCATAGCCTCAAACTCGTGACGTCACTTCAAGCCGTCAGATTCCCTACCTTTGCGCATATGTATCGAAAATAACTATTTTAACTGTCATTTTATTATCATATAATATGACTAATCTCTCTTTATAGTCTTGAGATATCTTAAGAAATTTTTTTTAATCTATACGAGTTAAATTTATCTTAAAAAAAGGTACATTTATTACATAATAAAGGGAGAAACTAGGCCATCATTTCAAACCGCAGGCGGGATTGTCTAACCCAAAGCAAGGATAACACACCTGGGTTAGAATGATTTATTATTTCTTTGTGTTACGCATACTCTTTCTTCTTACCAAAAGTTTTAATCTCTTGCATTTTTATCGACATTGAGAAAGTTAGAACACGTGCAAGTTCAATTTGTCTTTGTTTTTTTCATCCAAAAAAAATTTAGAAATCGTGAATACGTAAAAAAAAAAAGATTTTTGGAGTTTACTCCTTAAGAATCGATTTTCATTTATAAGGCGCCCGGTATGAGAAAAATGTGAGTAGTAAAATCTACTGATGAATGACCTCGTTACGTTTTTGGTGCGCAACCTCTATTCTGCGCAAACTTTCTCTTTTTAGGCGCAATCATTCAAACGTTCACGGGGTATGTTGCGGGTCAGCTTACGCATTAAGTATACCTATATACTATGTCATTAGTTATTAGTAATAACTTATTACTATATAAAATATATAGGAATATAATATATATATAGCCGCGCGCATTAATTCAAATAGGTATTCCAGTTTGTAGTTGAATTGAAAATTGTAAATTCGGCCGTTTCTAAAGTCTAAATGTTGAAAATCTAAAATTATGCCCTTTGTCAAATTTACTAAACCTAAAAAAAAAGACTGTTAATGTGGGCAAAAAGAATATAACGCCAAGTGTAAATTGAGCGTAAAGTAAAAAATGACAAAGAAAAAATCCGCGAATTTTCGAAAAAGAACATCTAAAAAAGCAGTCACTTAAAAATAAACATTCAAATAAAATGCTGCGTTAATAAAATAATGCCAATCTGACATAAGCTAATTTATGAAAATAATTCTAAAAAATAATAACAAATAAACGAAAAAAAATATTGAAATTTAAAAGATCCAGTCAGCTGCTATTCGTTTGTTTTACCCCGGGGTAGGTTTAATAAGCCGAATACGATAATTAATATATTTACTTTCAATTGCATATTGTATTAACCTACAACAACTGTCAACTTGCGGAGGTTTTATCGTAATTTTTATATTTTATTTATAATTGATATAAACATAAATTTATATCAATTGATATTTATTTCAAAATTGAGAAAATTACTCAATGAATAAAAATCAATCTACAGATGTGTTATGCATACTCTAAGTAATATAAGAAATACATTTATTTACCCTTATTCATTAATCTATTTATTTTATAATTGTTCGTAAGGAGTAAACTCCAGTCGTGCGTCGGAGCTGACACACACTTTTTTTTTTTTTTTAATTAATAACATTTTTTTTGACGAATAATACTTGAGGCATAGTTTTTCACGTAAGTTTCTAGAATCTAACTTTTTTTTTATTTTTTGTTTCTTTCTCAATTTGGCACAACAAAAAAATGATGTATGATAGAACCCAGAATTCAGTAAACTTTACGTAGTTGGCGCGAGACACTACCGTGTCTCCAGATTCGAGATTGACAAAACTTTATTCTACCGATATGCATAGCGTATCATGATACGTTCACAGGATTTCTTATGTGCAGTAAGCGCATCATAACCTTAGGCTCGTGTCGTCACAGTTTACTTACCATAAATTTTACCAAGCTTACTATAACGTAGAATAATTTTCATTTAAAAAATTGTACAAAATATTTCACAATTACCGTTGTTTCAACGGCAATAATTTTCAAAATAAATTTCTTTCTACCTATGAACAAAAAAAAAATTTTTTTTATATTGTTCAGCATACGATTTTTTATTGTAGCTCTAACATAAAAATCTAATAACTATTTTAAAATTTCAGGTAACTGATGAAACAAGACAAATTTTAGAACCATTTGGATACGGCTTTATTCAAAGAGGAATGATTTTTGTCAAGGGAAAAGGTCAATTACTGACGCATTATTTGGTGTCTAAGGATGGAGTTAATCTCGAGCTTGACAGTGACTTACCAGTAGTGCCAGCGCACCCAATTATTTACCAATAATTCATTGATTGTTTCTAATAACAAAAAAAATGATATTCCAAGTATTAAAAAATTTTAATAAAATAGTAAATTAATAAGGGCGTGATCAACGTCTTTGATTACTATTCAAAAATTTTACCTAGTCTATAAATTGTAATTATATCAATCTGAAAACTTTTTTATACTTTTTTTTGCTTTCGCAAAAAGTCATGAAATAAACTCAATAAAAACGTGGAAGTCTAGTGTGCTGAAGTTGCAGCACCACACGAAGATTCCACTGAAAGTTTGAATGGCTTTTTATGTCGAGAACAGTACGTCCGATTCATTTTACTGTACGTGGACGTAACCTTGTTTTGATACTGTCTATAAATAACAGACAAGATGTGAAGCAAAGTATCAACAATAACATGCAATTCCGTCTTTATTTATATTTGGTATGATAAAAACTAGAGAAAAAAAAACAAACACAATCAAACTAACTGTATAACGTTCATTTAAATTTTTTGTTTAGAAATATTTTTGAATTAAATCGGAAGAACGTGTTCTAGAAAATTTTGTAGTTATTTGAAAAATATAATTGTCCTAATATATTAACTTTTATATCATAATCATTATAAAACCATATGGAAGGCTGGTTTTTATAGGTATGTCTTTATAACTGTTAGCTTTAAGTAGTGTTATTGTTTTCTATGTCGGACACGCCCAGAAAAAATTAATATTATATAACCACATATAATCAATGATCAAGATCATGATACTACAATAATTTTAGTTGTATATGGACATATATCATTAGATATGGACTAATATGATCATATGAACACTAAGAATTTTTAATTACAAATTATTAACTGAATTTGGAAAACCATTGCAAAAATTAAATTTAAATCGTTATTGATTAAGCTATCAACATTTTCGTGCTATGCTTTTTTTGCGATTTTCTTCACTAATTTTTATTTACAACCACATATAATTTTGTATGCTTTGAATCGATAAAAGTATTATTAAGAAATTCCATTGAGCTTGGTTTACTTAATTTTTTTTTTTTTTTTTTTAATTTTATGATAAACTAATCGAACGATGTCAACTGATTACATTCAAATAAAAAATTTTTTGTTTCAATTGATTGTTTTCGAGACTTTTAATTGTATTAATAACATTCAAAGAATAGTCAAAACTTTCATTCAGCATTAACTGGTCTAATTATAAAATCTAGCGTAATTGATAAAAAAAAAAGTTCAACCATTTTTATACACATAACAAAATAGACTTCTGGCCAAAGTAAAAATTTTTCTTGAATCTAGGATATTATTATAGTTTAAAAAACTTTTACTTCACCCAGTAGTATTATTTTCTTCGTTAACATTTTCTCAAATAAAAAAATTCTATTTCTTTACTTAAAAGTTTATTTTTTCTGTGTGTTTTTAACGAAACTAAATACTAGCATCAATAACGAAATTTTATCATAAATATTTATCAATTAAATTAAATTATTTATTGATAAAATCAAAAGGATTAACATAAATATTTTCAAAAATATTCTTAATAAAATTGTTTCATCAACAAAAATTTCAAAAATTGTACTTGGTAGTAATTTTCATTATTAATATCAATCAACGATATTATGTCTAAATAGTTTTATATCTAACATAGAAGCAATTACACACATTTCAAAGCCATCTTCATTAAAAGCCATCCTGACGTATAGATAAATTATCAATTATAAATAAATCGAATGCGTTCTTCGTGTATGTGATAAATTCAAATTTAGTCCGTGTGTATATTTAATTAAACTGACGATTAAAAAAAAATATATATATAAATCTACGATTGTGTGATTGTGTAAGGGTCTAAGTAGAAAAAATACTACGAGAAAATAGAAATAAAAAATGATTATATTAAAATATGGGAGATTAGGGTGCTTCGTTTAAGATAACTATTTTTTTTCTTACTTCATTCACGAAATATGACTGTAAACATATAAAAAAAAATTCTCGCAAAAAATAGGCTCTTTATTTCAATTTTAGACCATTATGATAGCAAAAATTGTCTCTAAGCTACGAATATAAAAAAAATAAAATCAAAGTTTACGTATATTTTAAATAGGAAATCTTCTCACGCTCCAGGAGAATACTAAGGGTTTATATTAAGGGATCAAATTTTAAGGGAATTATTCCTGACACATTTCCAATAAAATTTTAGGTAGAATTTAAAAGAATTAACACTTTCCAGTAATTATTTAATTAAAACTGCTAAATTTTCGAATAAAATCATAATTTTTTTAATTTCAAGATGTTTAATCCGATTTATCTTGAAAACAGTAATTCTACGAGTATGACTAAGATGACTTGATTTGAAGAAAAATAAATTTTCTATCGAAAAGTTTCTATACAATTTTGTTGTAAAATTAATGCTTTACAAGAAAATAGGAAAAAAATATTAAATTCGAGCAAAAATTGATTTAAGAATTTTTTAGCGGTGAGAAGGTTTAGAGAACATAAATTAGCTACAGACAATTTGAAAGAATAAAGATTTGCCTACAATTTCCACCTATGGCTGATGGAGTAACATTGAATGTCGCAAAATTATAGAGAAATGAATAATAAAAATTTTAATTTACGTATTAATTAAATGGAAAATTTTCAAATTCATTCAGCGAGTACTTAAAATTGAAATTAAGAGCCTATTTTTTATGAAATTTTTTTTTTATATGCTTACAACAATATTTCGTAAATCGAGTAAGAAAAAAAAATAGTAGTCTTAAATGAAGCACCTTAATGTGATATATACTGTATTGTAGTTGTCAACCATTACGATTAATATTGATTAAATGATTACCGGTACCTTGTACGCCTGATTGTGTACGTGATATGACTACTTGGAGAGTAAAACAATCTATAAAGAATGAATAATAATGGTGTGTTACTTAATTAGGTCGATCATAAAAAAATATCTATTTCTTAAATCTCACTTTGTCTTTAATAAGGTATCTGACAGTTAAAAACAACATTAAAAACACTATCACTGTCATAATAAAATGGTCTATGAAAAATATATTAATAAATAATTGATGTGTTTATTGTAAAAGATGTAATATATTCGTCAATGTTTTAAAGTTACTGTTTGAAAAATTTTAAAACAAAAAAAATTGGGAACTCGGTGATAGTTTATTTTTCTACATAGAGCGCCGAGTTATTAATTAAATAAACAATAATAAGACTATTTCATCATCACGTCACTGTATTTCTTGATGGATCAAAAGTATGTTGTCATATAGTAAAATTATAATTGATTATTAAAAATTATAAATATTGAACACCGATAGTTATTGTGTTCCTTGTTGATAAATTATTAAAAAGTAACGCTACACTTGAATTTTATTCAAAGAACATGCACGGCCTAAGTGCGAGTCTATGGAAGGAATTATTTATCTGTCATTTTTGCTTATTCACAGTATTATTTTTTTATGAACAAAAAAAATATATGATTACTACATAAATAATATTTAATATTTATATTACATAAAAATTGTCATTTAATTATTTTATTCATTCTTATTTTAATAGCAATAAAATGAAAATCATCCAAAACTCGCGCGGTAAAACAATCGAAATACTAAAAAAACGGTTCCATAAGAAAAAACCCACATCGACCGAATACACTGAAATATTAATTAAAAATTGATATTAGAATAAAATGATTTTTGGATAATCATAATTCATTAAATAACTTTAAAATATATACTTTACTAAAAATTTATTTTTCTTCTATATCGACAAACGAAATCTTGTAATTTATATTATATCATCATTGATAATATAATGAACACAATAAGAAAAAAATAAGTCTTGCATGTAAACTTACAATGTAAACATCTATATAATATGCATACATATATATATAACTACAATGATGTAAATAATTTATCTAAAATAACAGCATATTCAAGAGAAAATAGACAAAAATAAATTGTTTAAAATAATTGAAACACTAATATATTAATTATCGATGATTATTTGAAAAATAATACTCCAAACTAAACATCCAATTCAGGTGAAAAAGTTTTTTATTTGTGATCTTATGTGTAATCGTTAAATTTATCATATTGAATTTACGATATTTAATTGTAATTTGTATGCAGACAATATTTTAAGATATCAAAATTTTAAGAATGATTAAATAGCATGTTATGTGGTAAGTAAAAAAAATAGAACATTGAAATCCGAAACAAAAATTTTTTCCGTTGTTCATGTAAATGTTTATGAATTTATTTGAACTTCTAGGGATAAAAATATAATTTCTTATCGAGATTACATTTGTACGATGAAGATCTTAGAGAAAATGAAAATATTATCAACTATATAATCGCACAGAAAAAAAAATGTTCTTGAATCAAGTATATAATTTTGAAGAACTTAATCTTCTTGATTTGAGCAGAAAAATTCTTGAACTAAATAAATTTTTTTTGATTTAAGGAAATTTTACTTGATTCAAGAATTTTTCGTCTTGATTCAAGACAATTTCCTTCTTCAAAATTATTTTCTTGGTTCAAGAATTTTTCTCTCAAATCAAGTTAATTTTTTTTCAGTGTGTGATCACTTGATCAGAAAGAATTATGGAAATATTTTAAAACCTCTTAATTAAAAATTTTTTTATATTCATTTTTGAATTTACGCATTGTTCTTATGTAATAAATTTTCATAATCATAATCCATAAAAATCTTAAAAACACTGTATATAAACGAAGATAGTAAATAATCATACTTCATTTCATTTATTAATCTTTGCAAAATGATTTGTTGAAAATTACCTCTAAAACAGTTTTTAATTAAAAGAAATAATCGTTTTTCAAATTTAATGGAAAGATTATTGTTTCATAGCCATATGATTTTAATATTGATACTGATTTTGTATCGCTCTATGATCTCTGTAATTTTAATTTCATATTTTTCGATTGCTGCAAAAATTTATTATTATAATATATTGCCCAATAGCAGTTTATGAATCGTTTTGAAAAAAAA